ACTCAAGTGACTGAGTTTAAACCCAAGCTTCTTCTTTAAAAAACAGTGCAATGTGCAGATTTATCTAAAGGATAACTAGGTTTATTGGAAATGAAATGAATACCAAAGCAATTCACAAACAGTAAAAACTGTAAGCGTTCAATGCTAATTAGTCCCAGAAGCTGTGTTCTTAAAACGCGGTGCATGCATGTGTGGGATCTGAAAGCAAAACAGCATCTGTGATGAGTAAAAAAAAAACAAAAATCAAAACAAAAAAAATATCCTTGTTTCATTCACTCAAGTGGAAAAAGAAGCTTTGGAAAGAGACAGTTTCCACTTTAATAAACTTAAGTAGCAAAAGTTCATTGTTAGGAGCATCTAGCTGTTAAAAAAATGATTTTTTGACAGAAAAGTTTATAAAGGCACTGTGTGTGCAGACTTTGGCCTGGACTCTGTTAAAGTTACCTTCTTGTTTTCACTATATTGAGCTTTCCAAGTGACATAATAGCTGGGTTTATCAACCTCAGCCTAATCTATTTGATAGATAGCTTTTAAAAAAACATCAGCGAATCTGTCGTTACTAACCTATCATGCTTCGTTCTAAGAGGCCATTTCCTGTTCGATTTTATCAGTCGCCTGACAGATTTTGGCACACCACCCTGAACAGTACTTTAGATTTATCTGGGCCTCAGCAAGAGCTTTATTGACTTTGGCTTTCCTGTCTGTCAGCAAGGGATGCTTCTGAGGTTTTAACAATAGAGGAGGATATTTGTGTCTCCTTTAAGAAGCATGTATTTAGCTTTTGTCTTTTTGTCTTGCTCTAACTTGCTGCAAACCATATTGGTGGAGTGAAGGTGTAAGAATTAACAACATGAATCCTTTATAATTTCATGTGAACAGCGTAAAGTCGGGCTCTTTTTCTTCTGGCTGCTCTGTTGGTCTTAAGAGCCCCACTAGAATTTCCACTGCTGTCCTGCTGTGACAGGGATGTGAATGGTTGGCTCCGTATCACTGCAGCTCACAGGGATAATTATATCACACACACACAAACCGTACGCGGACAGTCACACACTCCTGGAAGTACAGACTCTGCACATGAAGACTAAAACATGCTGACCGGCTGGAGCTGAGCTGCTACACCTCATTAAATTGGGAAATGAATCCTGGACAGAGTGCTGGCTCCATTTCAGATAAGCTTGAGGTGTTTTAGGATTCGACACATAAGTTATTGTGGCTGATTTTTTGTTGCCAATTCTGATTTCCAATTTATCACTATGTATCAAATCTACATGCAGGTGCAATGGGTTTAATATCCCAATCGCAAATCTTTGATGATATTTTCGGGGCTATTATATTTAAGCTGAATGTGGATGAATGTGAATTTACTCTCATTGCCCTTGATACCCGAACATAAAACCGATGTGGGTGGCTTAAGTACTTAATGGCAGTGGTAGGGAATTGTGACGATGGAAAACAAAAGAAAACTAAGCAAAATGTGGGCGCTACTAATACTGCCACTTCTACATAAACTAACAATGTCTTTATTGGGTGTTTTCCTAATATGGTGCAGCTTTAATGAGATCATAAACTAAAGTTATGTGGCCAAACCAATATTTTAAACTTCTTTATTCTACTTCTTTTTGTCTGTTCCTTTGAGAAAGTACATCCTCACTGAAACCTTTGGGTTTTAAACAGGCTGCTGATGTTTGCAAATCCAGCATGTTCAATAGCGAGCAGAGTTAAAACACAGCAACTTTGCTACATCTGTTCAACCTTGCTATATGATGAAAGATATGCTCTCTCTCGCTCTTTCGCAGCCTGAATGAACTGTAGATATGTCTTGACAGAAAATGCATGTTTCTTTTAAAAAGCTTCCTACAACTTTCATGCTTCCTCTGACTACTTTTCATTCCAGGAACCAGCAGATTTTCTTGTTTTTTTATTTAATTTTTACGGAAATGATTGCTCACATCCCAGCCAGACTTTTAACCATCTTCACTAATGAAATATTTGTAAATCACCTCTGATTTTAACTTTCTCACGGTACGTTGAAAATAAATATTGAAGGGTGGAGTGTATTCAGGCTGTGCAACGTTGCCTGCAGCCTTCAAAAGGGGCTGGAAGAAAAGCTGCCCCTTATCTTTGTGTGTGAAATCCCAAGCCAGACCTACCTTTTTGTGAACGCAGCGTTGTGATTGGCTGAGCCAGGCGAATAATACGCAGCTTCCCAAGAGAGTTGTAGTGGAAGCCCAAGGTAACAAGTTACCAGACACCAGCTTTGGGGGCCATAACTGTATCACGATCCTGGGGCAGCGCTAACGAGCACATTCGCTCCCCGGGGAGGACCATTCCCAAATCCGGGTCTGACTGACTTGCTGTTTAGCCTCTGGTACCAGACACAACTTCCACCAGATCCTCATCTAAAACCTTGTTCTGTCAACCCGGGGGGCAAGACAGCTACACACATCTACAGCTCTGCCTCTAAAAGGCTCTATTAGATTCTTTCATGTTGTAACCATCATTAAAATCCAAAATTTGCTAATGTGCTTTTGTGGTAGTTGAGAAAATGAGCCTGCCCGAGCTCTAATTGAAGCTGTGACATTTTAATACCAGACTAGTGAATGCCTTGGGTGCGACATGCAGGAAGGAAAGATTAAAAACAGGTCTCTCTGCAGTCATTAAAAGATAGAAAATGACTCCTTTTTAGGTGGTTTCTTTATTCTCATCTGAGAACAGCGCCCTTACTCAGACAAAATACTGATGAGCTCCCTGCAATAGCATTGAATAAAATTAGAGATGTACTGTTCAAAATTTGATAGCCAATTTCCTATCTCTGGTTTTTCTAAAGCTTTGAACTGATGATTAACTTTCAGTAGCTATGATATTAGAAGATGTAAAACCAGCATTCAAAATATATTTGTTCAGCCTTAAAAGCAAGGACTAATTGAGTTCACGTTTTAAACTACTAATCTATTCCACCTATTTGTCAGCGCAAATGCAAGTGTTGCTAAAAGAGCTGCAACTATTGATCCTTGCCTCAAATCAGATTTCCAAAATGCTGCAAGTTTCATGACACATTCAGTGTGTTCAAAGAACAAAACAACCTGCTGCACCCATTTCACCCTTCCTGCTATCTGCTGAAATTCTTGCTCTCTTTCGCAGTCTGAATAAATTGCAAACATGTCCTCATACAGTTCAGTCCAAGGCTAAGAATGTCTTTGGAAAATTTTGTTTTTCTAATAGTACATGAGATGAGCAGCTCTCAAAAGATAACATCATAAAACCACATCATAAAAAGAGAATCGATGTTGAATTTTTTCTTTGTTGTATTTACAATTGAATGGAAAAAGATGTTATTATGTAATTGTTTCACCCTTTTCCATAATCAGTGAAAAAATGTAAAAATATCCCTTTAAATCCAAGTCTTTCAGGTTTGACGCCTTCCTTGCCATCACACTAATCCTCAGTCCCTTCCAATGACTCTATCTGATTTAGTTCTGGATTGACTTGAACATTGCCCGATGTTAATACCACTTCAGGTCAGAAGCAACATGGTGGTAAATTTGAAACCTCACTTTAAACCTAAATCTGCCAGAGGTGTGAATAATTTGGGGATTAACTGAGTATTACAGTTTCCTTCCACTTAGCTTCTTACGTGTCTCTTCTTCCTCCGACTTTACTGTTAAACACCTCAGTAACATTGAAACTTTCTGACTTTGAGTCGAAATTGAAGCGAGTTGTTGTCAGCTCCGTCCCATAGAGCTTAAGTATGATACATTCACAGATTACGGGAATTTTCTAATTCCCGACCAGCCGATCACAGATAAAGTCCATTCGGTTGAAAATCATTTAGTCCTGGTCACCAACCAATTTCTCTGTCGTGCTTTTATAATAGCTCAGAAAATGAGTGTGTCTGTGCTGTAATTAAAGCTGTAACATTTCAGTATTGGGCTGCCTTGGGTGAGACATGCAGGAGGGAAAGATAAAAAAAAACTGGTTTTATCACTTTCATTAAAAGATAGAAAATTAATCTTTTTATTTTTTATCCAGTTAAATTGTAGCCACAGAGACTAAAGTCAACACGAGTGCAGTCAGGTCTACTTTAGTGCCTACTTGTTACCAAAGCTTGTTTCACACTCTTCTATTCATTCTCTTATTTTTTGTGTGTGTTTTGCTGTTATTCGTTTTTTTTTTTGCTTTGTCTCAAAGAACAATAGCATTTATTGAAAGCTAATGTGACATCTTAACACCGCGTCTGTCTGCTAGCAATAAGAAACATAGAGAAAACATCAGTGTTGCTGTTGTTTTCCTCCATAGTTACAGTAAATGTATCATCTTGCCGAAAGGTTGTGTTGAAAGAAATTTGTGTAAATAATGATTAATGAATCTCTCATTGCTTTGTTTAAAAGAAATTCAGACCAGTCACTCCAGCTGAACCTGTGGTATCCGCGCCATCTGTCTCCATTAAACAGCTATCAAACAGTCGTACCTGACATTTGCTGCTGCAGCTGCTGTCTCGCGAAAGACTGATGGTCCAGTGTCAGAAATATGACCTCGCCGCAGATCAATTTGCCTCAAGCCTAATCTGCCAGTCGCTCACATTGATAAAACTGAGGGTGAAATGTGTTGGAATGAAAAGCATGCCCCCCTGTTCTGAACTTTGGCCGTGCCATCCGCCGGCATTTGGAAATCGAAGCAGAGGCGAAGCCCTAATGGCGCAGCGTGATGAGTGCAGCGAGATGAGCCCACGCGGCTTCCTGTCGATCCCTATTGGAATGCTCTACATCAAAAAGATAGCCCCCAGCAAAACACTGCGCACACCAAGAGACATCGATCTGAAACCACAGAGTCAGTGCATGTAACTAGCTCGCTTGTTCCACCTCTGACCCTCCCGTGGATGCAGAGCAGGACAAACTTGGTGTTATGATTAATAGCTTCTGTCACTGGATGTGCTGTGAAATCCTTAGCTTTCATTTGAGGTCTGAGATTTTCTTTCTCTACTTTTCTTTTTCGCCTTGCAGTTGTGGAAGTGCCCTCAGTCTGTGATTGAGCAGCGGAGGGGCAAGGGCAGACCACAGCGACCCTTAATGATGACGATGGAGATGAGGAGTTTGGAAGCAGCGCTGCTGGTGTTGATCCTCGGACACCTTGCCTCTGCTCTAGAGGTCCCACTAGACCGTAAGGGAACACATCACACCACAAAACCAGGGAAATGCTTAGGGTCTAAACCAGGGGTCTGCATCCTTCAACAATCGCTCGTCGTGTCTTAGGCTAAACATGTTAAAGAACCTATTTATTTTTTAGGTTTTTATGGAAAACTCCATTACATTTTTTCAACAGAATTGCATTAAAGTAGCAGTAAGGTGTTTTTCGATCATTTTTTTTTTATTTGACCTTTTTTCTGTGTATGTCAACGTGTTAACTCACATGAAAAACAAAAATGCAAAATGATTTTCAGCCCTTCAGGTTAAGACAGGTTTTGTTTCCAATATATCTGGTTGGAAATGTGACCATCACAGACGGCCCTTGTCCTACCATGGGACATCCTTTTTTTTCCTCTAATCACTAATGTCTGTATCTCTTTACTGTCAAATTGCTTTTCTTGTTCGCTGATTCATTGGGGGAACCCACAAAAGTTCTTCCAGGATGTAAGTCACGAATAAATGCTTTGCTATTAATAAGTTTGCCGTTTTTTTTCTCTGTCCACATTTTGAGGATTTGCTTTGTTTTCAAACTGCTCAAAATTTATGCCTAGTTTATATTAGAAAGTTTGGAGTGTGATTTGGAGTGAAATTTTGCATGCATTTATTTCTGTGCTTGTTTTCTTTTGTTTTGTGTGTTTCTACAGATGTGGAACATTTTACATAGAAAAAGGCCACACACAGCATGACTTTTTCAGTTATTTGTTTTGTCATAGTCCTTTAGTTGTCTCCGCAGCAGTGACAGGAATTCAGTAAGCATCACTAAAGAGAAACGCATTTTGGTGTTCTGCATGCTTTTGTGAATTTTTTTATTTTTGCCATTGCACAGATAAAGACAGCTTTTTGTGTGTATGCCAGCACAAGCCCCTGTGTGGTTTTGGACACTTTGGTCAGTTTCAGTGTGTTTGGTAATGACTGCTTGTGTGGTCGACGCACAAGAAGAAAAACGGCTTCAGATTAAGCAGCAAAGGTCATGGTTAAACATTTCCCTTCTTTCTGATCTCCATGTAGTGGCACAGCCTCCAACAATAACTCACCAGTCCCCAAAGGACTACATCGTGGATCCTCGAGAGAATATTATAATTCACTGTGAGGCGAAGGGGAAGCCGCATCCCAGGTAGGAAAAAGCCAAGTGTAGTTTAAAATTCAAGAAGTGTAAATACTCCTTTAGCTCTCAGACGTAAACAGTTCAAGCTCAAATATGTATATTTTTTAATTTTATTCCACCTCAATTTATTTGTAAGGATGCTGCCCTTGCCGCAGGCTAATTGTTACTAAGGCTTCTGATAGCTGCAAATGCTCTACTGCCTCTTACACAAACATTTATGCATTTTTTTCTGTTCCTTAGTTCTTGTTCCTTAGGCTGTGGTGATTTTAAGAAGGCAAACCAAAAGCAGGGGCTGAGGAGTTTTATTTTCTTGTTTTTCAATTTAGACACTGTGTCAATTTAGACACTGATGTTTTACGTTTGGTTTCCACAAGTTAAAACCAAATGAGTTCATGTTCATAGTTCACTACTTCAACAACTTAAAATAATCCCAAAGTCACAACATGAACCAGTTCTCATTTATTCATCATATGTGTGCTGATTAGCAGACTGATTATGTCATTTATTTTTTTCAGCCTGATCTTCAATAGCTTATTTACCTCTTTGCTTAAACCTGTCATGTTGTGTTATTTAGTGTCAATAAACATGACAATCACATATTTCCCTCTTTTCATTGTCAGCAAATTAAATGAAGCTGAATTTTTGATTGGATAATTTCTCTATTGACACCACGTCTGTAGCTACGGCCACTCAAATTGCACTTCAAGCTCTCTGATAAAATTTTGATTTGATGAAACATGTCTGATGACAAAATCTTCACTCACATAAACCAAAGATAACACCCATACTGTTACCTTTATATACTTACCAGTAAAATGGGTTGGAGACAAAAGTTAGAAGTGACTGAATGCCTTAAACTTCACCTACATTCAACATTTCATCTCTGCTTTACCTTTATAGTTTCATTGATGCTTAGGGCACGAGTGTTAAATATTTAGATCCATAAATATCCAAATAAATAAATGTTATGTCATGTTCAAAATTTTCTTTCCTTTTGAATTAATTTTAACAAAAATTTTTTAAGTATATCACACTTTTTAGCCATGGAGGTGCCAGTAGAAACCTGGCATAAGTACCCCCTAAATATGACCCTATTCCTGCACCTTTTAATAACTAAACTGGAGACAAATAGTTTTTTATGGCCCTTATGTGTAATATTTAATTTATAACTTTAACGTTAAAGGCTGTATTTTGGATAATGGTACCTATTTTCTATTTATTTTAATTTTATTTTGGTAGATAGTAGTGATTGTGATTTAGGTGTTACTGATTGCGCCTCATTGGAAAGGCAGTCCTATTCATCTAATCATCCATTCATTCATAAAAACTGCACTGGTTTTTCCTCACCAGCTTCTCCTGGACGAGAAATGGGAGCCACTTTGACGTCGAGCAGGACGAAAGCGTCACCATGAGGCCTCACTCCGGGACTCTGGTGGTGGACATCACCAGAGCAAGACCTGAACATTACGAGGGAGTGTTTCAGTGCACGGCAAGGAACAAACACGGATCTGCTGTGTCCAACAATATCGTCGTCAGACAGTCAAGTAAGCGTGGTGTCCTGCTTCGTTTCGTTTAAGCCATTTTCTTGTCTTTCATTTCAAGCATTAAATTCATGAAACATTCTGGATCATGTCCTCCTTTCTTTTCTTTTCTGTAAATTAAGTTGCGTTTTTCTTCCTAAGACGGCTTATCGAAGGTAAAGCTTGCAAGTTGAGAAAATGCATGTTAGTTTATAGATTGAAATGCCCCGTTGTATTTTTCCTCTTAGCTTTTCCACTATTTAGACATCATCCTCTCATCTTTCCTTGTTGCTTTTTTAGCCGGCATTTTATGTGCAAATTGTGACGATACTCAACCTGTCATGTTGCATGTCCATTTTCAATCAATTCAGAGTCCCCCTTGTGGTCAAAGGAGAAAAACAAACCAATCGTGGTCCGGGAGGGTGTTTCCTTGGTGCTGCCATGCCGACCTCCAGCAGGACTTCCACCTCCCATCATATTCTGGATGGACAATAGTGAGTTGATGCCATTCATTTTGATATGTTTGGAATTTTTTTGGCTTAAAGTGGGTTTTGTTTGTAATTGTTGTAGGTATGGTGCAGAGCTGGTGTACTTACCATTATAGATCAACATCCATGTCAAGAAAAAAAAAATTGTCACAAAGACTGTGAAATGTACAGGAAACATGTAAAAAAAACACAATTTTGGGAGATCAGTGATGCCAAAATGCTTTTGAAATGTCACCATTTCAGTTTCAACAACTTCAAAAATGTTAATTTTACAGAGCGTAGTTAACTCTGCTAGTTGCTAATATTAATAGCTTTTTTTTTTCTTTTTTTTTTTGCATATGGACCAGGAACTTAAGTTGTGCTAAATTGAACTGAATATCATATCCAAACTGGTGAAATTCAAAATGTACGTAGAAATGAGAATAGGGGTCCTAAAGTTCAGCCCTGAGGGATTTATTTAGTGCATACTTCCTGAAGTTATAACTGATGTATATTTATATCATTTTCTCAGACTTCCAGAAGTTACCTCAGAGCAAGAGGGTGTCCCAGTCGTTGAATGGTGACCTGTACTTCTCCAACGTTCTCAGTGGGGATTCCAGGAACGACTACATCTGCTACGCTCGCTTCACACACACGCAAACCATCCAGCAGAAACAGCCCATCACTGTCAAAGTGCTCAACCGTAAGTCTCTCCCCCCGTCTGTGGTTCTCAGATTTAAAGATGTGATTAAGATTTGCATGACTGGGAAAAAACAAAACAAAAAGGACAACAGTGTTTGTGTAATGCACGTGCACAAGAGGCGGTTATTTTTCAGCAGGACAGTATGTGCCAGGATGGCGGCGTGGGAGGGAAACCCTGCTTCCCATCACAGATCCGATCCTCGGAGATGCTACTGTCATCTGACTCAAAAGACATATTGTCTGAGTTCTGGTTGTTCTCTAAGCTCTCTGCTAAGCAGCTTTTTACTGTGACGTTTTCCTCTATACACTTTCTCCTCCAACAACAAAGACTGCTCTCATCGTTTTAACCTTTACAGCTGACATCATGAGAGACACTGCATTACATATTCTGGCGATCATCTCCCATATAAATATTTCAAGTTTTTTTTTTTAATGTTCGTTTTCATATTGCTCTCTGTTAGAAAAAAGATGTGCAAACATGTTTTTGTAATTGTCGTGATTTAAAAATTGTTGCATGTGTGATTTCTTTTGTTTTGTTTTGTTTGTTGTGTTACAGTGGATGCAATCAATGAAACAGTGGCAGATTATTATAATGACACTGAGTTATTAAATGGTGAGTTTTTGGCACCCTCCGGTGTTTAGTTCCTCCCAACCCAGAGCTCCAGACTCTCGCTTTGCACCCACTAACACCAACCCTTCAACCCATTCATCCTTGGGGGCTTTTTTTTTTATTTCAGAGGTTCGCTGGTTTCTTCCAGGGTGAGATCTAGCGCCACCTTGTGGTTATTCTTAAAGTAGAGCTCAAAGCTGTAGCTTCCTCACTAACACTCACCCTCCTCAACCCTAAAAGGCACTCCTGCTTTGAACCCCATTTCAAATCTACCTTTCCTTTGATTTCCTTCAGCTACAGCTGCATGCTGATTTCACTTTAGTCTGAACTTCAACATTTATGCAATTTGCTTTTCAATAGTTTGAACTTGTAACTCTATCTGAAATCAAGAAATATGTTGAAAATTGGCACCATGAGTGAGAAAACATGATCTCAGGAACTTTGCACTCTGTCTTTGCAGAACACAATATTTGACCACTATGGAAATAGTGGTAGCAATGTCTGAAATTGGAATGTGTGTTCATAATTGGAATGCAGTGATTTGTATAGCAAGGAGAAGGATAAATGCTGTCTGAGAGGGGATCAGTTTATAGACCTAACAGAGTAGCAACCTACCCTTTAAAATGGTTTCATCTGTGACTCACCATGGTGGTGAATGACTGTAATTCAGAAAACTCAAAATCTGGAAACACTCACTTCAGAGAAGCATTCTTACTCCTGACACTCGCGTTTTTCAAATCATCTGTCACCAGAACAGAGCCATTTAGTTTATTTTTTGTAAAACATTTCTGACAGTGAATGGAAGCAGCTGAAAGTCTTTCTTTTGTTCTGTGGATTTGTGAGGAGGTGCACTCCACTGATGTAAAAAAACATTACCATTAACACCATTTTATGGTAATGCTACTAGGGCTGTTATAAAATAATATTTTAGTAATCGAGTACTCTATAGAATATTTTTACGATTAATTGAGGAATCGGATCTCTTTCTCTCTCTTTCTCTCTCTCTCTCTCTCTCTCTCTCTCTCTCTCTCTCTCTCTCTCTCTCTCTCTCTTATTCCTACCATTCGCTCCAAAACCGTGACGACGCGGATCCGACAGCACAAAATTCAACAATTCTTATTTGTCCCCAAACCCTCACAAAGCGCTGCACAATTCACCACCATGCTGCTAGCACGTCACAACAACTCATAGGCGGAAGTCAAAGCGCTGACCTCCACAAATAATGATCGGGGCGGAATCGAGGTCCTCGAATCGCTCGAGGAAACGTTTCAGCCCTAAACTCTACACATGGGTGGCTGATATTTACTTACTACTTCATAGAGGATCTGTGGCAAAAGTGAGAGCGCTCAGCCTTTCTTTAGCTAATCCTGCTGCTAAAATGTTTCCACTAAGCCTTTTCATTCTCTCATTTCTGATTTAATTCAAACTTTTTTATCATTCTATTGATATTATTTCAACCTTATTTCACTTGCTTATAAATAGTGTAAACTCTTTGAATGGTGTAAATGCTAAATCTGTTTTAATTTACTTATTTTCTTTAAAGCAATCTTGGTAACTGACAGATTCTATTATACGTTTATTTTACACTAAGTAAATTTTCGACATTAGTTTACATGGTTATGAATTTTTTTTCTTTTTTGCCTATAAACACCTTCAACAGACGTAATAAAGAACCCGAAAAAAAGGCCATATTTACCAATAAAACATGAGTATTTGTGTGCAGATGGTTTGATTACACCACAGTATTGAAATGTGGAGGCTTAGAGAACATGAAGGGCAAGGATTGCCTCAGTTCCTCTCTTTATTCTTGGCTGATGCCAAAGAGAGTTTTTTTTTTTTTTTTTTTCTCATTTTTGACTCGGTATATCTGTGTGTGTAACTGCAGAGGCCCCAGTGGATGATAGGAAGCCAACCTTCCTCATCCCATCTGGCCACTCAAGCTACAAGATGGTGCTGAGGGGACACGTACTGAAGATGGAGTGCATTGCCGAAGGACTGTAAGTCGGAGAATGCGCCAGAATTAAATGTCTCAGCGCCTCGAGAAGCCGCCTGCTTTATCACAGCTCTTAAATCCAGGCCCACCCCTGAGGTATCCTGGACCAAAGTGAGCGGAGACCTACCCAGCAGGCGCACGTCCTTCCTTGACTTCAACAAGACCCTGCAGATTGTGAACGTGTCTGAGTCGGATGAGGGAGATTACAGCTGCACAGCCAAGAACCAGCTCGGCTCTGCGCACCACATCATCACCGTCGAGGTCAAAGGTGTGTCTGCATCTGCTGTTCCCTGCCTTTTCTCTCTCCTTCTTCCTCTACCTTCCTCTCCTAATTGATTTATGCACAGATGCTATCAGGATTGTCTGTTCGGTAATTAATTCTCCGCTCTGTACTCCTTGCAGCTGCGCCTTATTGGATCAGTGGGCCTCCAAAGAATCTTGTTCTGGCTCCAGGAGAGAATGGAGCGCTGACCTGCAGGGCCAGCGGCACACCCAAACCCTCCATCATATGGTCAATGAATGGTGACCGCATAGAGAGTAAGAGCAATTTGCTCCACGGTCAGAGATATATCTACTCTAACATCAAATATTCATCACAGTGCCTACATAAAGTTTGCTATATTCTATAAGAACCCTGAAGATTTTCAGAAAATTACAAACTTCTAGTGATTTTCTCTTTTGTGTGGAAATTCAGAGAATGCAAAGGATATTTTTCAAAAGGCTACTTAGAGATATTTGATAATATATTTCCTGTCTTATAAAAGTTGAATCTTGTGATTTTTAAGGTAAAGACATTTATTTAACTGCAGACAGGCAGGAAACAGTACTTTGATTGGAAACACTTTAATGAAAAGTTATGTTTTGCAAACCTAACCCACACACTATGAATATTTTTTTCAATCAGTCATCAAGTTAGTCTCTTAATTGTCACCCTTCCCTATTAGTGAATGGGTCCATGAAGATAATGACTCATGACAAATAAGTGGCTTTAATAAACATTATTTGATTAGCATATTGTAAATGGCATAAAACCATAGAATGTGGTCGACAGGATTAAAATCAAGTTTCAAACCTTACTAAAAATAGACCATTAAGAATACAAGTAAAAAAAAAGATGACTGCGTAGTGAAAAGCATTTTACTTTGTCACTAGTAATGCTGACATGGGCAGAGCTGCTATAGATTAATCTGGTTTTTATATGTTTTATCAGCAGGAAAATGCTTACAATTTGAAAAAGCGCTTTCAAAAGTAAAGTATGTATAAAAAGACTCAAAAAGAGAAAAAAATCATGTTTTTCATTGACTGCTAAGAATGTCATAAATCCCTACAGATGTCTCTCCATCATCTTGCCACTCACTTCTTAAACACAACCATATGCTTTGATAGATTTACCTACAGATATCAGCAGAAGGGTGGAGGACGACACAATCATCTTCACCGACGTTCAGGTTGGAACCAGCGCTGTGTACCAGTGCAACATCTCAAACCCGTTCGGTTACCTCCTCTCCAACGCTTTCGTCAACGTCCTCCGTGAGTTTAGCACTCCATCATGGATTTTAATGCTATTCCCCATCCCCGGCATTTTGTGGACAGTAATAATGTATAGATATTCTGTGCTGACTCACTGCAGATGAGTCACCCAGAGTGCTGACGTCAGCCAACAAGATCTACCAGGTCATCGAAAATCGCCCGGCCCTCATGGACTGCTCCTCTTTTGGGTCACCAATTCCCAAAATTGAGTGGTGAGTTAAGAAACACTCAGTAAAACTTTGCCATGAAACCGTTCCTGTAGCATAATGCAAAGCGGTAAACTCTCCGTGTCTTAGGTTTAAAGACAGCCGAGCCAGCACCCTGAATGGAGAACCTTACATCCTGCATGACAATGGTACTTTGGAGATTCAAGTAGCTCAGTCGCAGCACAAAGGCAGATACACCTGCATTGCCAGGAACTCGCTTGGATCCTCTGAGAATCACGTTTACCTGCATATAAAAGGTGAGTGTGTTCGTTTGTTTGAAGCTGTTTTAAATGATTCCTCTACCATGTATGTCAGCTATATGCTTGTATTCTATTGGACTGATTCAATTAAATATTTCTGAATATGATTTGGACATGCTTGTCTTTAAAATTTATTGAGATGATTGTCGTGACTTTCTGCTACATAATAAACTGGATTAAATTTAATTTAATAATTCCAGGCAAACTAATCTGGTAAAAAAGCAAACCTACAACCTGCAATCTAAAACTAGCACTTTACAACATCATCTCGCTGATTAACATGGTGGTGGCGGCATTATACTGTGGGGTCAGAATCTGACTGATATTCTGTGGCAAGTTTCGGAAGCTGATGTTCAGGGATGCTACCCCTACAATTTTATTGAGCTTGAGCCATATTGCACAAATCTGCAACCTCTACATAGACGTGATGTTCTGATTGCAAAAAAGTATGATTCAACAAAGTACTGAGACAGGGGCCCAGAAATCAAACGTGTGCATAATTTTTAGATGTGTAAAACAAATAGTCATTCATTCTTTTGTGTTCCTTCAAACTCACAATCATGATATGTTTGTTGGTTGGACTGTAACAAAATGGAGACGTAATGAAAATACTTCAAATGTAATAATTGTAACATGCACAGAATAACTAACACACTGAATATTTCTTAGCCTTTCTCAAAGATTTCTATGTTGGTTCCTCTGACCTTTTATTGACCCTAAGTGAAACTCTACCTAGGGTCGGATTTTTTATTAATCTTTGGCTTTCCTGTTCCATCAGAGCCTACCCGTATCCTAAAGCAACCGGTTGACACGGTGGTGCAAAGGGGCCGATCTGTGACGTTCGAGTGCACAATAAAACACGACAAGGATCTCTTACCCACTTTGATTTGGCTTAAGGATGATGAGGAGCTTCCCGACGATGAGCGGTTGGAGCTTTTTTAAATTCAGTTCTTAAAATTTGTCAAATATCTGAAGTTGCACATAACTAAATTGACTTTTTATTCGTATTTTATTTTATTTTTGCAGATTCCTCATAGAGTCCAACAGCCCGCCTACCTCTGATGTGTCAGAGAGAGAATGGCATAGAGATCATGTGGAGCTGCCTAACGATGATCGGTCAGAGCTTCTTTAACTTACCTGTATTTGGTTCTCAAAACTGGACAAAATACCTGAACTTGTACATAACTGAATGGTCTTTCTAAATATATTTGTTTTTTGCAGATTCGTCATACAATTCAACAGCCTGTCCATCACTGACGTGTTGGAGAGAGATGCAGGGGTGTACACGTGCTACGTAAACACCACTCTGGACCAAGACTCAGTCACCGCTGAGCTGACTGTTGTCGGTATGCGACTCTGAGCTTAGCATTACCAGTTTAAAACATGAACGTTAAGAAAATGGCAGAGACCTAGGTCTGTAGGATAATTTGATCCAACAGTCAGCTCTTTAGGTCTAAGTGTGTCGGACTGAATTTAATCAGTGATCATGCTCTGTAGGTTAAATGTTTGACGACCTTCTCTTAAGCAGCCTATTTATCATTCCTGTTTACTTATGGCTGATTTGACCACCAAACTTCTTATTTCAATGCCGCCCTCCAACCTCACAGAGACCACACCAGCTCCAGCTGTCATCCACGGTAAACCCGCAGCACGCTCAAGCACCCAGACGTGCTTAGCCAGCATGCGTTTTTGTGTTGTTCGCTCGATGGTTTCAGTTTAATGCAGCATGCTTCGGCCCAGAAGAAGCCATTTGGATCGAACAGTCACAGAGTGTTGGCTCTTTATTTATTTACATCTACCAGTTTGAGTTGCTCCATTATTTTTTTCTGTGCGTTTTTCCGATCTGCCGTTTCTGCAGAGTCAATCGCATTGATGCCGTTTGTCTGCCGGCGTAAACATTTGGGAAAGGAGGAGCAACTTCCTCTTGTTTTCATATCAAAGCTCATTTCAGAGCAGATACAGCCCCCTGTGTGCTTCTTGTGATATTTCGTCATCGCTCATCCATTTGAAGCATGCGTTTCTTATCACTGCAACTTCACAACATGAGCGTCTGTTCATTTTGTCTGATGAGCTCGAGATGAAGTGAAGACTGAACATCAGTCATTTCATCGCATGATGCAGCGTCTGCATGCGTTATCGTCATCAGTGGACCAAGCAAAAGAAATACATGAAAACATGCAAATAAATTGTCCTGCAATCGGAGAGGCTTGGATAAAGCATCGTGCTACAATCACCTGATTGTGGTGTTACTGTTAAATGTTCAAAATATAAATATATGTCTCTCTTCCTCTTGCTGTTTTTTCTTCCAGGGCGACCCGATCCCCCCACAGACCTGGAGTTGACAGACGAGAAAGAGAGGAGCGTTCAGCTTACTTGGATCCCTGGGGAGGAACATAACAGCCCTATTCATGGTGTGTGTGGGTCTATGTCTTTATACAGCTGTCTGCGTGCGTTTTATATAACCTGCTTTTAATGTTTGGTATACTTATTGACCAGTCCCAAACTCCTGCTTTTCTGATTTATAGGCTGTTGGGACATTGGCTAAGTGTGGTTCAGATTTACTAGTGACAAAGTAATAATATTAGAGGCTTTTAGTGTTTTGTTATTCACAAGTTTGTGTTATTGGTTGGATGAAGCCATTTACTTTTTTTATTTTATCTGTTTTTCTGAGTAAGAAAAAATAGCTCCCACTGATTTGTAACTAATTTGTAAATTGACTTTGACAATAAAATAGAAAAAAATATTAAAGTTGTAAAAAATGGCTATCAGTTAATATTCATCCCTTGAAGTCAGTGAAAAAAAAATCCCTTTCCCAAATCTCTTCATTGAACTGAACATAACAGTCTTGTAATACACGGGTTGCTGTTTGACCTTGTTTACTGTGTTAAAATGCGCAGCGTGTTGCAAACACTCATCTTTAATGAAAACCTTGCCAAAATCCACCATTTAATTGCAGATTCAGTGTGTGCTTGGTGGCTGTTTGAGTTCAAGTGGCATGAGAGCATTAATCCCCATTATGCAAATATGTGGCCAAGCATGGTTAAAAAGTGCAAAAATGATTGTCTTTTTGCAATGCAGAATTTGTAATCCAGTATGAAGACTCGCTGCACCACCAAGGTCACTGGCATGACATTGCCCGGGTTCCCGGGACCAAGACAACGGCTCATCTCAAGCTTTCACCATATGTCCACTACACATTCAGAGTGCTGGCCCGTAACGCCGTGGGTCTGAGCAAGCCGAGCAGCCCCTCTCGAATGTATAAAACTAAGCCTGCAGGTACGGAGCCAGCTGCTATAAATGCTATTCAGTTTTGCACCAGAACATTAATAATTGAAACCATGACAATGTGTTGCTTCCCCTAAACGTATATATAGCTTTCCCCAAACTTAGAGTTTACGCTCAGTGTCCTGAATGTTTCTAAGTAGTTTCTTGGAATCTAAAGTTACTTTCTGGGTTCTGTTGGTACTGTATTTGAACTTTTGTGGATTTGTTTATTAACTTTTTGATAACTTACTAGATAATTTACACAAATGTAGAGATTATTTTCTATAACAAAACAGTTTTCCCCCCAGAATTTATGTTTAGCTAAAACATTTACCAAATAACTTTCTGAAACCTTCATGGAACTTGCTGGTCACAGTTCAGGACGCCACAGGTTACTTTCTCAAGACTTACTAGTTACATTCCCAGAACTCTGAAGGTTTTTTGTTTTTTCTGGTTAAGATTCAATAAGTTCCATAAAACTTAGCGGCCAGAAAGTATAGGGAAAGTACCAGATACACTTTGGAAAGTAAACCGATTAAGTAAAAATTGTACTATGTATAATTTGTTAGTGTAACCAACACATGAGTTCAGTTACAATTTAGTTCTTCTATGTCAGAAGTCTCCAAAATCAACAAATAAAGAAACTGTTATTGTCAAAAAATAACAAAATAACCAGTATAAATGTAAAATTGGCTTTTTTTCTGGAATTTGTTGATTTTTCTTTTATTCTGTCTTCAGCTCCTGACCAGAACCCAAAAAATGTCCGTGGATCTGGAAATAAACATAACAATCTTGTTATCACCTGGGAGGTAATCGCTATACATTTAACCATTCTGAATTTGATCAATGACAGATCTGTTATTGCAAAGAGTACCATAACCAGCATTTGTGTATCAGAGCTTAATTAGATTTTTGTTCATATTCATTTACTTCAGTGTAATGTAGTGCAGTAGACCTCCAAAGGAGCACAGTGTCTAAACAATATGCTATGTCTTAAATTTCTTTCTCCAGCCTCTGTCAGGCCTTCAGTCCAACGGTCCTGGGCTTTATTATATAGTGAGCTGGAGGCAGAAAAGGCCAGGCACCGACTGGATAACAGCCACTACCAACAACTCCATGTATACTGTGTCTGAAATACCCACATATAGTCCATTTGAGATAAAGGTTCAGGCTGTAAACAACCACGGAGAAGGACCAGAGCCCGCTGTTGCCATCGGCTACTCAGGAGAAGATTGTGAGTCCACCTTAACCTTTTAAGGCCTTTAAGTTCTTACAAAAAGATCTTTTGTTAGAGCCGGAGGCGATGTATTTGGTTGCATACCCTGTAACATTTCACTCTGGCCTTTTGGTTGTAGCCTGATCTAATGTTATGCAACTTCTTTAACTCTGCAGTGCCAGCAGCAGCTCCAGCAAATGTTCGGGTTGATGTGGTAAACAGCACTGTGGCTCGGGTTCGCTGGGACCCTGTGTCTCCTCATTTAATACGAGGGCAGATCCAAGGATACAAGGTACAGAATTTTGATAATAACAAGCCAATGCATCTAATAAAAAGTAAATGGTAGCCTACACATATGCAATATGAAAATGGCTACCAACACAAAAAAGACTCTACAATCTATACTGTCATATGGTGATATTACCTCATGAAAATACGTCTAAATTCTGTTATGTTTATGTCAAGTAGAGTAGGGATGGTAAGCCCATAGGTCTGTGGTGTGTCTGTATCCTAAGGAAAAAGAAACCTTATATTGCAGCAGCAACACTTTCAGTTCTTAAGGTCTCGTCAATTGGCTAGTAAACACATTATTGCAAAGGGTCTAGCTTATGTCCCCTTGGAGGCTCTGTAGTTAGAAACCACACCTTAGTGTGATATTTGTGGACAAAGGATAGATCTCCCTTATTATATTTTTTTATTCAGCAGTCCATTCATCTATTGTCTACACCCGATTATCTGCAGAATCTTAACTTAAAAAAATATATATATATATATATTGGGTACAAAAATGACAGGAGTAACATCCTTGCTCAACATGTATGCACAAATGACACAGATGAAGCTTCTGCATTTGACACTGTTTGTTGCAGGTTCATTACTCGAGGATGCACAGCCTTCACAAACACAACCCCCATCACACGGAGAAGCGCGTGCTCACCTTTAGTGGGAACCACAGCCAAGGCCTGCTGCCCGGGTTGCACCCATTCAGCCACTATTCTTTTTACGTAAGCGTCTTCAATAAGAAAGGAGAGGGTCCCAAAAGTGAAAAGGAGGAGTTTCAGACACCTGAAGGAGGTATGACATTTAAACCTTAAAACTGTGACATGTACATTTTTAAATCTTATGAGGAAATGTCAAATACATGTTTTACCTTCTGAATTTAAAGGAACAGAAAGGAGAGTTTAGTACCATCTAGTGGGGAATTAGGAAATTACATTTGTGCACAATGGTTGGAGAATTTTGTCTATATTTATGTTAACCTTTTGATATTATGTCTGAAATAAACAGTGCATCATCTCATTGCATATTTCCCTTTATTGGTTTCTCTTACATTAATCAGCTTTTCTCTCACTGACTTGTGTTCACTCATTGTTCATGCTTTCCTGCAGAGCCTGGACCACCCGCCTCGCTGTCTGTCACAAACCCCAGCCTAGATTCACTGACCCTCGAATGGAGTCCTCCTCATGAACATAATGGGCACATCACTGGCTACAACCTGAGATATCAGCCAGGTGAGAAGTTTTGTTTTTTCTTGACAGACAGCAAGCGAGATTTTAAATCTGTCATGTGAACATCATCCTCTGCCATCTAGTGCGTAGCCTTTGTAAGCCATTCTTTTTCATGGCTTAATCAGTCATATAGGAGAAGCTTAGAGTAGCTTAACTGCATTTAAGTGTTCTTACAATTACAACAACACAAGTTAACAAATCAACTCTGGTCACTCCCAACTTCTGTTTCTGAACCCTACTCCTCTGTTATCCAAATCTTTCCATTTTCACCCTTTTTTTATTATTGACACTCCATCTGCAATCCCTCACCCTCCTCCTATCGCTACACAACTTCCTGTTTTCCGACTTCCTTCTCCATCCCATCGTTGTCGTCATCCGTCCCTCACCCCTGTAGTCAATAACTCCAATGAACTTGGCCCAGAAGAGGAGCTGGCCCTGGCTGCCAATGAGACCTCAGTCACTTTGCAAAACCTCAAGTACAGCCCACGCTACAAGTTTTATTTGAATGCGAGAACAAGCGTTGGAGCGGGCCCGGCCATTTCTCAGGAAGCTGTCGTCAAGCAGGATGAAGGTAAGTCATCAAAGGCAGACAAGTGCAAAACATGGAGCATGTGGTATTTAGGATGACTAGTAGCTAACATTTCTAAATTGTTCTTGGATGACCTTTACACGAGACATCAAAAAGCATTAAAAATAATCCCTATTTAAAAGAAACAGTTGATTATATATATATATATATATATATATATACATATATCGCTCAAACAGAAACTTGCAGGTACATCTCCTATGTAATTGTACTTATTTAAGATGAACATGTCTGGAAGTTTCATAATCTGCAGTATCTTTAATCTGGAGCAGGGGAGCTAAAAAAAGAAGAAGCTGCTTGTAAGGAATGTGATAACACCCACAAACTTCAGACCTTTGTTTTGAAGCGCGTTACCATGGAAACGGTAATCAATTTAGAGGGGAATTGTAAATTACTTGTAGGCTACGCCCTGGAGCACAAACTAATTAGATTATAATTCATGGAATAAGCATTGTGCATTATTGAAAATATCGACTGAAACAAACACATTAGGAAAATGTTTCTAAAGGTCATCAATTATGTGAGATGAAAGACCATTTAGTCTCAGTCTGCTTTTGACACAAAGGCTTTTTTTAAATTCACAATCTCCTTCAGAAAACAGCTGAATTCAGAAAGTAATGTTTTCTAAATCAAGACTGAAAGAGTTTCCTACCATGATTTAATGGTAACTGCTTTGCTATAGAACAATTTGCTATTGCTTTGTCCTCTGTTATGTGCACATTTAGTTTTAATATATTTTTTTCATTGTGAAGGAGTCTTTGTTCTATTGCTTGGCTTTTTGTATGACAGAAAAGGTTACCTTGTTCAGGTTAAAGTCAACCGGCAAGACAGCAACAATTTGCAGAAAAATACTTTCTCCTGAAATGTGAAAATGTCTGACTTTCGTCCTGAAAAATCCTAACCAGCTCAGCTAGAAATGGCTTCAAACATCTCATTTACAGTTGTGATCAGAAGTTTACATCTGCTCACTCTGGCCAGGAGTTTTAAGTTTATTCTGGGCTTTTAATTAGTTATTTGACATTTTTCAAGGATTGCACAAAAATGGTCTATTATTTAAGAACTGCATGTTCCATTTAGCAAGAGTTACAATTTGTTTAAATTTTTTACTTTACGTAGGATCAGAATTACACATGTAAGGTTAAATATATTCACACATTTACCTATATCTTTAAGTAAGGTGTGTTGAAGGTTGTCAGTGGCATGGGCCGTTAACCTCTGGTTTGTAATAGTTATTGTGTTTCCTTGTTAGGGTAAGATGGATTTGTTTGCAGTCATTTGACTAACCCAATATTTATTATTGCACGTCACCATAGACTGAGAAGATGCCGATCAGGAAACAAGTACATCAAGTAAAATGGACACTTGCTTGACTAAAATTTGCAGCTGTCTAAATCGGCAAGCTAAATAACTTCTGCAGGAAAGTTTTATGGTCATATGGGAGTGTTTTGATTCTGTGACACAATATATGTTTAGAAAATTTGTTACGCACATAGGTGGTTGACTACTAGGATTTAACTGGGTGACATTTACTTAATAGTCATGCATTTATCATGGGTGTAAACATTTGATCACAGCTGTGCAAACATTTTTAGATGATTGGCTTTTTTTTCACATACTGAAGATTGATATTGTATATTCATATAAAATAATTACCTCAATGATACAAGTGAATGAACCCTTATCGACCTGTTGCCTCATCATGTCTTTGTTGGTTCAAAGAAAAGTATCAACATCTAAGTATTTTACTTTACTTTTAGGTGTGCACATTGCACTGTTGTTTCCATGTTTCGCTCCTTAAATTCAGTTTCACATTTATCCGATAAACCTCATGTAGACACCCTTGAATTGAAGATATTTCTCTGATACAAAAGTGATAAAAGCAGAGGGATGAGTGGTGAGCTTATTGTAGCTCACCTATTATTTATCTGTGTGTATTTTGTTTCTTCAACCTATAGCATCAAATGTTAGCAGATGTGCCTATCTAGGTGGAAAACCCACTGCATGCATGCTGCTTATCTCTGAGGACGTTCACCATTTCTCTTCTCTGTCCTTTATCCACCTAAATGTTTGAGTTCAAAGCCACACAGACAAAGATGCTGTTTGACATGTGCCTTTTCAGTTTCACCTGATAAAACGGGATCAGACTTTATTAGAGTGGCATGCTGCTTTTCTTCTCCTTTGTTGTCAACAACTTTGACCCCCTTGTACTTTTTGCACGGCGGATGCTGGTTGTGCTTCCTGCTGCATGGCGAGGTTTTTCCTTGCATGCTAATGAACTCTCTGCTTTGTGGATAATGACTGTGTGTCTGCTGTGTCTCCTTGTTGTTGTTTCCTTTGCGTGCGTATGTCTGTGTTTGGGTGTGGGTCCATATTTTATCCTCTTGGTGTTGTTTGCAGGAGGCACCCAAACCTCTCATCCGGTTGCAGGGTTTCCTCCACGCCGTCCGATCCACAAGGGTACAGACTGTGCTGAGATCTTAGTAAACTACATGTTGGATTAGATGATTATGAGTTTGATTGTGAACTCTGTTCGTCATGGTTTATTGCCCCATCCAGTGCTGTTGCGCACTTCTGTATGGGTCAAGGCATGCATGTCAGAGAATTACAAGTGCTGCTTCAAAAATGAGAAAACCATCAACAAGTTAAATCTAGTTGAGCCATTTATTCCAAGTGAAACTCATGTGGAATCAGACATTTACTTGCTATGTGCAGAGTGAAACATATTCCACACATGTTTTTGGAGACTAAGATCAGGGATTAATGATTGCCACTTTACACATTGACATTGTTGTCCTTAATTTAACGCACTGCTTGGGGTCATCAAAAATGTGTAATTCCAGCTGGTGTCTAATGTTTAACTTCCCAGGCAATGCGTTCCGATGCTGCCGAAATAATTGTTCATGATATTATCTCCTCATGATGTCAAACATGTCGTTAAGTGAACAACTCCCTTCTGCAGTAAAATGCTCTACAGTAAAGCTGCCACTCCAGTTTGGATGATGTTCTCAGTCAATCAAGCTTCTCCCTAATTCCTCAAAGTGCGACGATGATTGTTTTGTCTGACACTTCAGTTTTAGTTGAATCACTTTGGGACATTTCTCCAACAACGAGGATTGAACCGTTAACAGTCTCCTACTTGATTGTGCGCATGACATTTCTGTATTGATAACCCTTTTTTATTTGTCCTGTGCTCTGATTTTCTAAGAATAAACATTTTCCATTAGCTCTAAGTTTCCAGAAATAAACACTGGAAACGGATCAGTCTGTTTAGTAAATCTACGCAACACATCAGTTTCATTTTTTAACTCCATTGTGGAAATAGACTTGTTGATGACGTTCTAATTTATTTAGATGCACTTGTATAATCAGGACAAAGCAATTGATTGCTATTTGTTGCATTGCCCATTGCCCCACAGGCCAGCCTTGATGTTTGTCTCTTCTCTTGTGTGCGCAGCCCGGCCCGTGAGTCTTTTTGCAAATGTTAGCTCCTCGGTTGAAGAAGATGGGGTCCTGATCAGTTGGGAGTACTGGGGCCTGGAGAAAAATGTTTATGTAGAGTACATTGCAGAAAACAGTAAGGAAAATCATCACCTCATTGATATTTCTCTCAGCTTCAGGCATGGGTGGCAAGAGACTCCTACTTCATTACTGGCTCCAGCAGGTGATTAAAAATATCGGCAGTCATGTTAACGCTGCCAGGGAAGACCCTGATTTGATAAATGAAGTTTCCCGTGATTGGATTCTGAATTGCTCAATGCTGGAATTGGCTGGAGTTTTCATTTCCAGTCATAGCGCTGACAGGATGTATGAGAAAAATCTGACAAAAAGCAGCACTTCCTGTCTTCTTTATACCCACAGAGGTTGACTAAAGTGCCTTCAATTGCTTATTTCTACCTGCGGTGAGGTTAAAAGCTCTGTGGTATGACTCTCTCACACCTATTGTTTCAATCATTCAGTTAGGAAATGTCATCGTAATAATATCCATCTAATTCGAAAAAACTCAGTTCAGTGATCATCAGTCATGACACATTTCACGTTTAGCTCATTCCCACTTTTGCTTGTTTGGTGGCCCTGACAGCTCACACGCAGGTAAACAGAGAAAACACTGCAACACTCCAGTGGACAAGTCAGAGTGAGATTTCTATCTCGGCGACAGCGTAGCTGTGAAATCACTGCTCAGAGTGACATAGAAATAGGTCTTTTATTTCTTTATCTGAAGGTCTGAACATCAAGTGTTTTCTCTAGTGGCTATTTTTATGTGTCAGATCATAGGATTAGATTTTTTTTGTGTGGCTTGGAGTGCAGAATAGCCTTAAAAAACAGTAATAACAAAATACCTTTTGAGGCTAGAAGTACTTTTGTAACCTTCAAAAGAGTGTGAATGCCCCTTGAACTTTTTTTAAATATTTTGTTGTAACATAATACCTGTGGAGTGAAAGGAAGTTTTGCACAGTTTTCTAAAACTATAAATCTGAAAAGTATGGCCTCCATTTTTATTCAGCTCCCTGAATAATTACTTTTTAAAACAACCTTTGGCTGTAAGTCATTTGTGGTACGTCTGCCACCTTCGTAAAGTGCATGGGCAATATTTGCACATTAGCAGTATAGTTAATTGTCAGTGAGATTATATGCAGATGTATGCAGACCTGAACTGACTGGGTCATTTCAATAAATGACTGTGCATAAATCAGTCCATTGTACCTCTGGGTTGTTGCCTTACCGCAGCGCGAATCGCCACGCTATTCTCAGGTCTTTTGCCGCCTCCAGAAGGTTTTCTCGCAGACTTTTCCTGTGTTTATCATCAAACAAACACAGCATGATGCGGTCACCCCGACGTTTAGGGCGATGTGCACCTTTTTCGGCCACACAAGGTGTTTAACATGTCGGCCAAAGATTAGTGTGAATTTTATTGTCATCTGGCCAGAGCACCTTCTTCCACATGTTTGTTTTACCCCTGATGTGGCTTTTGTGTGAGTATTTCTAATTGCCACTGTGTACAGCTGTGAAAACAAACAAACAAACAAAAAAAAAGGCATATTGTGACATTTTGGTTTGATCCTGCAGTGTGTTGTCCTGAAGGGATTTGGGCAGTGTTGACCTAATTTTGGAGCAGAAATCATGGGTATTCTGACAATTTATCATAAATGAAAGCACATGAAAACCAGAATAATATGTTTGAATATTTTCTATGTGGCAGACATCTTTGTTGTTTATGTCTCCCTAGATTATTGTGTTTTTCTAATTAAAATATGTTCTGAGCAACAAGCAGCTGTTCTGAACCAAGCTGGTTTCCTCTTAGTTATTTTTAGGCAGAACTAATTGTCAACAGTTGTTGTTTTTTTTCTTCCAGTATGTATGGGCTTGTTGAAGTGCATTGAGCTATCAGGGTCACCACAATAATTTATTCAAAGCCTAAGTTGATTTTTTTTTCTTCCTACTCCTGGAATATTTAAAATTGCCTGCAGAGTAATGCCGTACAAGTAGTTCCCATCGTTTCACCATCACCATGGACAATTGAAAGCTCTGTTCGCTCCCTCAAACATACCTCTCTCCGTCGACGTCCCTCCTGCAGGTGAAGGCGAAGAGGAGTGGCAAAAAGAGCTTGTGAACGGCTCTCAGAACGTTAAGCTGAAAGGTCTAAAGGTGGGCCTCTCCTATAGGGTGCGTGTGGTGGCTAAAGGTCACCACGAGCAGCTGCTCCACTCCGAGGAGCTGTTTGTCACGGTACCAGGTGAGGCGCGTCCTGGGGTGTAGCCTCCGTCTCGAGTTTGTACCATTGCGAAGTTGAGTTGGGTTTTAGCTGAAATGTTGCTCTTAGGGGTGTAACGAGATCTTGTGGTATTAAAAACACCACAATCCTTCTCATAGAGTTGGAGTCTTTTTCTGCAAAGTGCAATGTAGCTGTCAGTGCTTTCCCTGGTGAAGGAAATATAAGCTGTTTTATCAGACAGGAAGGTGGCTGATTTAAACTTGACTACAATTAAGCCCAAATTGCTCCTGGCAGATTTAGATTCAAGTGATCTTGTAATTGTACCTCCATGTTCTTTATGACTAGAAGTAATATTAATGTTGAGCCAACCAGAGTCCTGACTTGACTTTGATAGAGAATCTGTGGAGGCAGTTAAAGATTAGGGTGATGGTAGAGAGGCCGTCCAACCTCACAGACAAAGTAAATCCTCAAAATCAAAGTGAAAACATGCAAAAGTCTTTCAACGATCACAAGACGGATTTGATGCCAGAATTAACCTATTCATTATTCGGAAGGGTTCACATTTTGTTAACCTTCCTACAGTGGCTTGCTATGTCTACTTACTTTTTATCAGAAAGAAACATCTTGGTTGAGTGAGAGGGATTTTAAATCTAAATCTGCCTGACTTGTGAATAATTTTTGGGCTTAGCTGTTGGTTTGAGATTCAGAAGAACAGAAGTGCTTGCTTTGCTTTGCTGAAGGAGTTAACTAATAAAGACCTCTCTGGCTGCCATAAAACTATTTGTAAAATAAAAAAAAGCCTCACTACATTTAAATTGTTTGTATCTGTCATTCTTTTTCTGTGGCTGGTAGGATAAAATAAACAGTGATAGGACTGACAGAGTAACTATGAACTATATTTAACATGATTCGAAATCTGAGTTTGGCTAACAATTAGCTGCTAGCAACGCAGCTAATTGCAAATCTCAGTACCTATTTCAGGTTTTTGATGTTTTCAAAACCTGAATAAATTTTAGCTGACTTCATAATAAACTCAACAGAGATCTTTTGTGGTATGTGAAACTTTAGCTTGATTTGTAAAAGCAAAACATGCAGATTCTTAGGTTTACCAGAAGTTTTGACTAAAATCTCTTCTTCTTCTTCTTCTTCTGCTTCTCATTGTGAATCTCCTGAGCTGGATGTATCGTTACACCCCTAGTTGCTGCAGTGTAACAAACATGCAGAGATATAATGTTTAACAGTTTGCATGACCTTTGGGTTTTAAAGTTTTGCACCTTGTATATTAATCTCATTCTGTAGATATGTAGATAACAAAAAAGAAAACAGACAATATTCTAATATAGAGTATTTTGAGTATAGCATTATAATTTCCAACCTAGACTAGAAAAAAAACTTGTGTGACGGTCGGTGATTGTAGCCGTGTGTGTTTGTGTGTGTGAATGTCACTCAATGTGAAATTATTTTTGCAACACCTCTAACGCAGTTCATCTTATTCTTAAATTAATACAGAAGATTTCCTGCTCATCTAACACAATTTGTAAAAAAGTGCCATCACGGTTCACTCATGAACTGAAATGACTAACTGATGGCTAAAGCAGCTGCCAAAACAACGTACGGCCATTTCAGCACATCATCGGAGGGAGATTTTTCCTCATCACTGAAAAGACTTTAGAAATGTTGCATTTACAATTATCGCATTATCTCTCCATCTCTGGCCAGCTGTGACGAGCAGACAGGTAGACATCGCCACTCAGGGATGGTTCATCGGCCTCATGTGCGCCATCGCCCTGCTCATCCTGATCCTCCTCATTATCTGCTTCATTCAGAGGAACAAAGGAGGAAAATACCCCGGTGAGTCACTGCACAAACAAACCTAGTGCACAGTGTTTTCAGCTAACTTTGGAAGCTGTCAGAAAAAACTTTTTTTTTTTTTTTTTTTTATTATGGAGATTTTTGCTCTCAAAATGTGGGATATTCCTACTTGCTGTGTGAATGTTGTGTACTGTATAATGTTACCGATTCCTTTTCTGTTGGGAAATGATTTCATATTGGCACTTTTTTTCTAAATTTCACAGCAAGCATTCACCTAAAGAACATGACACAAGTACAGACGTGTTGCTGCAAACATTGAGAAAGCCGACATTTCTCCCTTTGTGTCCCCAGTCAAAGAAAAGGAGGACGCGCACACAGACCCGGAGTTCCAGCCAATGAAAGATGATGACTGTACTTTTGTGGAATACAGGTGAGAGAAAGCGCTCTTGCTGCTGCTGGACCCCTCGCGTCCCCCCAAAGTCCATTTTTACCCATCAGCTCCCCTCGCCTCGTGCCCACTTCTGGCCCACTTCCTTCCTCTTCCCAGCCCTTGCAGCTGACAATAACCCATTCAAACCCGCCGGTATCAGTCACAGCATCAAGAGGAAGGCAACTGGTTTGAGCTTCTGCCAAGATTCTTAACGGGTCGGGGATGTCTTGGAGGCGTCTCGTGTCGGACTGGTGTGTCTGCTGGACATCACGTTGTGGTGCCATGTAGGGATCAGGAGTCTTCAGGTTTAATTGATTTCAAATGTTTATTATGCCAGAAGGTTTAAAAATGACTGTTACAAGAGATGAATGGTACAAGCGAACATTAACTCTCATCCCAACTAATAAGCTAATCACAAGCATTTTGCCGACAGTAAATATAGTGATAACACTTTGCCTAACCTCCTGGATGTTCTCCAGCTATGTTTGTTAGCCTCCTCCATCTGGGCTGCATCTCCAATAGCATGCTGAAAAAAAAAGAAAGACAAAAAAAGAAGCACTTTAAATCTGTACATGTAACGTTTTTGAATATTGTTTTTTAAAAGTCAATTTATAAGATAGTCTTGATTTTATATTTTGTATTCTATTCCTTTTTGTATGTAGATATAAATATGTTCGATGGATTTTATGCATGGGTATTCAACATTCTGCTCCAGGGAATAACGTGTTGAATGGATTTATCGATTATATATAGATATAGTATATTGTATAAATGCATATGGATCTGATGTGGCATTTAAAGCATGTCTGAAGACTGGATAGGCTGTTTAATTGTGCTACTGACAGATTTTTAAATTGTATTACATTTTAAGCCTAAAGTTGTTGGTTCTCCATCTCTTATTTATTAAATTCATAAAAAGATCAAAATCAGCAGTACTGGAGGCAATATTATTTCTTGCTTTTTTTTGTTTTGTTTTGTTTTTTTGCTATTTTGATGATAAAGTTACGTCAGTCTCTGAAACTACACACAATATATCAGATTACCTTTATAACAACTGCTTGTGGGATTTATAATGTTCAGTAGAGATTGTCGGAAAGCCTCTAGCTTTTGTGAGTTCATGTGGCAAAAACTTGCATCTCAATATCTCCAGTATGAAGAGGTAAATCAGGTGTAATGCTGTCTAAGAGCAGTATTTTGGGGACATAACAACCGGGCACACTAGTCAGCCATTTAAAAGCAATGGGGAGTCCTGACGGCGTGTGACAACACTGGAACTGACAAAAAAAAAAAAAATGTAAGTGTCTGTATTAAACATACAAACAGTTGCTTCATGGAAATTTTAACATTATTGACCTTCTTTACTAAAAGTAAAACATGTCTGAAGGTTATTTATGTTTTATGCTTTCAAGATGTTTAGGTTTTATGAAATAGAAATATAATCAAATATAACACCCAAGCTCTGTAATTTGTAGTGCCACCAGTACACGATGGTTTCGAACTTTTTATTGCTAAAGAAAAATGCCAGTAGTCCATTGTATCAATAGAGAAAGAGGAACACAACGATGGACGCAAACTAAAAGAGAGATTTATTAGACAAACCACGTTGCAAAGTGTACGAGTAACATAGTGCCTTTGTTAGAGAACCTTTTCCTTTCATCCTATTTCGTTTTATTCAGCGGGAAACCTTGCAGTATGTCAATAAAAGGCCTAACCTAACTCACCCGAGCCGTTTTTGTTTGTAGAACAACTCATTTATGTTTAAGACATAATTTTGCTCCTCACTAATGTGAAAGTAGTAAACTCTCCTAAGTGTGTGTGCGTGCGTGTTGAGTAGTGAACCAGTGTGTAGGAACTTCTGTCTGTGTGGGATTTCAGTGAGATGTCCTGATTTGATCCCTGTGGGTCTCAGTGAAGGTAAGGGTGGCGATGGTGTCGGTGGGGGTTGTGTGAGCTCTGTGGAAGTCACTGTGGAGAAAAGCGCCTGCTGTCATCAATTTTAATATTCACTCATAAAGCCTTGATCATGCTCCGCGTGGCAAGTTTTCTCCAACAATATGGCCTCTGACACTCTGTAAATGTTTTACGCTTACAGATTTATGATATGCTGTGCTAAAGTTGAAGAACGCCGCGGCATTATGATGGCTTTATGTACACATCTCATTGACGTTCGGCTCATTTTAACCACGGAATGTTTCTGGCGATCTGATTTCCAGAGAAAGCTTTCTTTGCAGACGTTTCGTACGTTGTGCCCGGGGTTGGGGTTACTCTCATGCTCGCTTTGCAGGATGTGCATCTGGAGTCTTTGCTTTTCAAGTTTTCTTCACTTCATCGTGCCAGAGGTTCTTGTTTTTCATCACAGACTCTTGTCTTGGGATGGGGAATGCTCTTTTTTTTTGTCCCTCAGCACATTCACCGCCTCACGTTTGGTTTCGAGGGGAATTTAGATAAGAGTGTGTCGGCTCGAGCTTTATTCCCTGTTGCCTGATAGAAACCAATCAATCATAGCTTCTGTTTTTATTACATTTTTTTTAGACGTGGAGCAAATCAAAATCAAAACTAAATCCAAATTGCTGCTTATTTTGAAAACTTTTTTGGCTTTTCACTCCTCAGCTGTGAGTCCCGATTGGCCGCTTCGTGCTCCATCTAAAAAAAAAGTGATCACTAATCTTCTTGCATCTGCCACCTCATCTCACCTGTAACATTTGCATGTTATTTTCTCCTTCAGTGACAATGAGGACCATAAACTGGTAAAAGAGAGCCGCACGCCGTCTAACGGGACGGTTAAGAGAGACGACAGTGACGACAGCTTAGTTGACTACGGGGAAGGAGGAGACGGACAGTTCAACGAGGACGGCTCCTTTATTGGCCAGTATAGTGGAAAGAGTTCCAGCAGGGACAATGCTGAGGGCCCTGAGAGCTCAGGGGCCCCGTCCCCGATTAACGCCATGAACTCCTTGAACTCTTTTGTGTAGCGGTGTGGTGTGCTCGCTGCATCCCGACAATGGCAGAATCTCCATTTAGCATGGGGATTTGGGTTTGGGGTTTTGAGGGGGTCTCACGAGGCTGCATGGCTTCATAATCACACACCTCACAGACATCTGAGGCACAAGAAACATAGAAAAACTGATTTTTTTTTTTTTTTTTTTTTTCCCCACTTGGAAATCTTCCTGACAACGTTGGGCTTAGTAGCTGAACTGTATGATACTGATTTGACAATACATGCTTTTACTTTAAGACATATATTATTAATACTTTGACATTAACTCATATTGCATCTTTCAATAGGTCTCACATGAGCAATGCAGTGCTTTTCCAAAATACATATATTATGTTGGTTTTGACTTTTTTTTTTCACTGAAGCAGTGTTAAATGTCAACAGTAAGCAGCTAACGTGCATATTTCCAACCGAGGACAGGAAGTTGCCGTGACGTAGTGCACTGATATAATGCATGTGCGGCAATAATTCAGTTTCCAAATGCATTTGCAATCCCACTGGCAGGACATGCACACCTGCTAGAACTATACAGAGGGTGCAGTTCCTTGCAAAAGTATTCATATCCCCCAGTTGTTTTTACATTTTGTCACATTACAATGTCAAACTCATGTGTATTTTATTGGGATTTTATGTAACGCACAAACTGGTATGTGTGTGTATAGTGGATAGGGACACGTTCATGATTTTCTCACTTTTGTTTTTTTTGCAAAGAAGAATCTGAAAAGTGTGACTTGCATTTTTGAGTCTGTGCTTTTCTTGGGTCATCTTTGGATTATCCGCAAGTATTTTGGGGCATGTCTGTATTAGAGGAAACTCAGATTAAATTAAATTGAGAGCATTTGTAACCAGCTATTCTCTAGGTCTGGATATAGTTCTTTATTTGGATCCGTCTTCCATCAGCTTCACTGTTCCCACAGTATGATACTGTCAATACCTTACCAGTACCAGAGCTATGGATCACTGGGACTCCTCAACAGAGGCTGTGTTCCTCTTGGCTCATTTTCTGATCAGCAGCTGTCTTGCCTACATTGTAGGTAGACAGCAATGAGAAGATGGAAGTATGAAGGTGTGCTATATTCTTTTTTTTTTTTTTCCGAGTGATGTATTGAACAGTTCTCCAGAAAATGTTCAAAGCTTTGGATATTGTTTTCTGATCTAACCCTACATCTCCATGCCTTTATCCCAGGCCTTTCTGCTCTGTTTCTTGTATTTTATGATCCTGTTTGTTCATTAATGTTCGCTAGAAAACATGCAAACAGTTAGATTTGTACAGAAATTAAATCTTATAGAGATTTGGACGCCACAGCCTTTTCTGTCAACTTCTCAATTGCACACAGCTGTATGTTGATGTATCACATGAAATCTCAATTAAATATACTCAGCTCTGTGATTGTAAGATGAGAAAATGTGAAGCAGCTCAATGGGGGTGAATACTTTTTCCAAGTTGCATGCTGACAGGTCCTCCTTTGTCACCTCTTTAATCTGCTCCTGCAAATGTAAAAATTGAAATGCAGCTTTGGATGTGTCATGCCATCTTCATATTATTCCACCCCACCCCCTGCATGTGACCTCCTGTTATTTTTTTAGCTCAATCTGAAGATCAGAAGTGAATGCTGAAGGTCCAGCAGCTTAGAGGGCTTCCTTCAGCAGGTAGTGCCTTTCTAAAGCAGTGACTCAGTTCTGAAGACTCTCATTGGAGTTTAATTACCACACTGAAGACAATAACGGGGTTTGTAAGAGTCACGTCCAAGGAAAAAATACCACGCGTCATAAATTCACTCCTAATGATGCTTTGACATGCAGGACCGGCTTTGTTTCTTTATTTAGATCAGATCGAAACATTGTTAAAGCTTCTTGTGGTGCATCAGAGATGCTATTGATTGTATTTCTTCAATGTTTAAATGTATATGGTTCTGTGTGTGTGTGTGTGTGTGTGTTTGTGTGTGTGTGTGTGTGTGTGTGTGAGTGTTTGTGAATGCCTGACATTCAGTTTCATTGAGGCAAGCATTGTTCAAATGTACTAACTGCACTTGAGGGCCTTTGGATGGAATCAAGATTTTCTTTTTCTTAACTTGCATCAAGTTTTATTTTTAAAACATTTAGTTGATGAGTATTTGACGACTGTGTAAATATATATGAATTGATTGTACAGGGACAAGCAGAATATGAGTGGCAATATTGTGCATGATGTGGTTTTATTTGTTAATTTGACTATAATAAATATAGACAACTATAGACTTGTAGAGAATATATATATACAGCCTCAAATGTTTCATTTTATTATTATTATTATTATTATTATTATTATTGTTTCTGTGCAACTTGTAAATTGTAATTAACTAACGGGACTGAAATTTTCTTATAAATGTGTGTTTTTTGTTCTGATACTCATGGCATCATAATGCACAGGCTGATATTCTGATTTAAACTGGTTGTAATGGTTTCTGTTGTACTCCTGTAGGAATTGATTCACTTTGTTTTCGAGTGTCTCAGATGTTTTGTATTTTAGAGCCAGATTTGTACTAACAAATGATTTCATTTCAGCTATTTAAGTTTTTATTCTCTTCATTGCTGATCTGACTTTCAGTCTACGGGAAATATGATGCATAAATAAATCACCTGCTTTAAATTTTCCGACTGATACTTCCTTGAGTGAAGTGAACAACTTTAATCGGTCAAGAGAAACATATTGTATCCATAAATAATCCGTTCTGTAAAACATGGCTTTGCTCTGTTCATTACTACCACAGACACTGCTTATTTGCCGACAGCTATGGATGAAGAAAGTACATAATAATCACACAACTCTGCAGCCTGGCAAATTTATTTTAGAACCATAATGTGTTTTTGTTCATAAGAACCCAGAAATCTTGCCAAATACCATTAGTCACTACTGCTTCAGTAGTTGAGCTTTAAAAATATTAATTATACAGCCAAGAAACACATTTTTCAGAACCCTTCCACAACAGCATAAAAACCTACCTATCTCTGAAATAGCTTCAAACCGTTTTTATGATTGTTCTTTTTATATGCTTTTGATCATTGATTCAGTTGAATCGTAGATTAAAAAAAAGATGGAGGTTTTTGGCAACATATTTTACAGTAATCTTTGCCAACAAGTGATATTTGTACTTCACTTTTTTTATATTTGTTAAGAGCTAATCAGGTTTTCCTGATCAAATGGTCTCAAAAAAGTACAAATTTGAAATATTTCCACATATCTTTACAAAATTACAACTTTTAAAGCTGCAGTATGTATGGTAACTTTCATAAAAACTTTTATTTTATTTATTTATTTATTTATTTATTTATTTATTTATTTATTTATTTGCATATTTGTTAAAATTGCCACCATGTGGTGACAGTGTAACATGGCACAGATGGTCTGTGAAAAGACTGACCTCCTCCACCTCCTCCCAGTGCTGCTATTCACCGCTCCCGGTCAACAGCAACCAATCAGAGCCAAGACGCCACTGAAGACCAAGAACAACCCGTAAGAGCTGGTGTTTGCTCTGAGTCAGTCGCCGAGCGGGCGTAAGCTTCACTAACTGAGGAAAAAATGTTCCCTCGTTGCCTAATTAATGTCGCCAACTAACAGGTAACACGATGAAGAGATGATGTATTTTTCACTTCCCCTGTCAGTGGTCGTCATGTTATGTCTGGTGGGTGTATATGGTACTTCAGGGCTCCTCTTTCCTCTGCTTTCTCTGATCCATGTTGAGTGTAGTGCACGCACTGATCGCAAACTACACGGCAGCAATGTTTGTGTACTCTTCAAACAGGCTGATAAAACACTTGTAGACAAACGAGACACCAATTAAGTTTCACCACTTAGTCGGACGCTGGGCTGTAATGCAGGGATCGATCGTGTCCTTAAGAGGCGCCGCCAACGAGTCTGCCCGTCCTGTTCCTGAAGACTTTCGTTAAATAAACATTGTATCGTCTTTTTTTTCCCTTTCCCCTCCTACCCCACATTTCGATTCGTCTACTCTGTTGAATCCCAAAGAGACACAGGTTAGCTCTTGAAATACGTTTTAAACCGGACCACTTTTCAGGAGAAAAGGCGACTTATTTAAAGGAACAGCCGAGGAGACGATATTTTTCTTCATGTCTGCACGTGAAAGAAATAATTTTGTCATCCAATGCAGCAAAGCTAAATAAATCATCTGCTTTTTGTCCACATGAGCATCGATAAGTTTTGCCCCCTCATACGAATAATTGGAACGCCTTCCGACATAAAGCATTTAAGTCTAGATGCTTCAGACGGACCATCATGAGCATAGCACATCTTCTCCAGATGAAAGAACTTGGAGCATTTGTAAATATGGATGACTGCATCTGCCTCAGTCTGAGACGTCCCTGTGAAGGCTTTATGGAACATGGCAGTCGGGGCTCCATCTTTGTGGCACTTCGACCTCCATTACAGTCACGTTGCCACAGCGATGCGGGGAGAACGGGCCGCCATCTGTTGCATTGTCACACGGCGATGGTGTCAGGAAGCAAAGAAGTCTGTCGCATTAAATACCCCCTGGCAGCGGGGCAACGTCTCCTGGGACGTTTACTGACGTCAAGGACGGAAATCACATTTTCGCTTACAATTCCAAAAGTGTTCATGCCACATCTTTGCAGCACAACCCCGAACTTCATTTCATTTCATTTTATTGGGGGTTTATTGTGCTAATTGAGGATCTCTGACAAGAGATGTTTGCAGTAGTTCTCTCCACTCAGTCTAAGTGAGCTTCAGCTATTTTGCAAAGAAGAACGAGCGACCTGTAAAAAGTTGCATCAAACAAAATGCAACTAGATAAAGTGCAATCCAAGTTTGATGGTGAGACATGACTGAATGCTAGAAATAGTAAAACGAAAATTGCAGAGTCAACCTATTTGCAAGGAACTGTGAACAATTAACCCATATAATGATCTCAGAAAATCCTTCAGCTTATGCAACAGTATATCTTATTAAACTGACTGCATCTCTTGACTTTACTGCCATCTAGTGAAACAGGGCAGCTGGACCGATCAACAGGCTTTTGAAGTCAAAAAAAGTAGATCAAACAGGTTATTGATTATATTATAACTGAATAATTCCATAATAAACATCACCATGCGGATTTTAGTCGGTGCATGCTCTAAAATATCCACTATATGCACAGTGTTTGTATAACAAGTGGGGTGAGTTTGTTGGCATTTGGGTTTCTCTCCCTGCAGGTCACTCTCAGTTCTCGGTCACGTTGGCCGTCCCCTCGCTCTCGGGCTTTGCTGTTTATTTCCAAAGCAGCAAAAATACCATTTATCTGTCAGTTGTTGATCATTGCCACCCAACAAGCAGCTGCCCCATTACCCTTCTGAACTCTACCCCACCCCCCGCTTCTCCTCTTGCCGACCCCCACCGGCCACCTCCTCGAATCCTCTCTCACTACGTCGGTGAATTCATCCTGCACCGACCGAGAACGTCTGCCACGGCATCCATTAACCGCTCCCGACTCCTCCGCGTCCTGCTCTTTGAGTTACTGCCGGGGTGGAAAGGCCCGCTCTGAATTGATCCGCAGCTGCTTTTAAGCGTGCTTATGCAACGGAGGAAGAAGATCATTACGTGTGCGTGTTGTGACTTTCATCCAAAAACATTGGAGGGAAAAAATACAAAATAACATTTAAAATTCTGACAAACTGTGAGTTAAAGATGCAAAAACAGGAGAATCTTTATGGTTAATTTGGAGTGTAAATGTGAGCTGAGCTGCAGGGAGTTTATACTTGAATGCACCCAGACAAGCCCTTGTGTCTTTCTCTCTCTTTTTTTTTTATGTAAATTTGACCTATTCTTGTGCTATGGAAGCTTGGGAGGATAATTGTTTATGATTACTCAGTGACTTTTCCATATGGCGAGCGAATGGTTTGCACACAGAAACCAGTTTACGATGACATACGATGCCACAAACGTACGTGGTTTTATTTTGATTTGAACACTTCCGTGGCCAAATAAAATGTCTCCAAACCCTTGACCTTTACAGTTTAAATCAGTGGAATTCAGACAAGATTTAATTATTTATTTATTCTTCCTAAATTAAAAAGGCTCTTCTGGATATCATTTTCATCTGCTCCACTTGCTGTATTTATCCAATAACTATATGAAAGGTCGCTGGATATGTGTTGTCATTTTAAACGTGAAGTCGGAATGAAATCAATAAATAAAGAAAAAACACAAAAACTTTGTGTGTTTTTTCTTAAAACTGCACACTTTAAGAAGATTTTAACGACAGTGGATATCTGGTGTGGGTATGCACTCGTATTGTGGTTGGGGCCCACAAAATCAGTATCGGACCCGGAGCCTCAGTTTAAAAAGTTCTAGTCGAAACTGAAAGGCTTAAGCTACTTTTTACCTAAGCCAAGAATTGGGAGTTATCAAGTATCAATTTAGAGGTATCAAGACAGCTAAACTAAAACAGGTTTAACAAATACCAAGAACTTTGAAATTACTTGCAGGAAGGAAAGTTAAACAGATCTGAAACATCTGAAACAGAACGCAAACAATCAAAGGGTGTTCACTTCAGTCGCAATATTAGATGTTTTTTCGCACAAGAATGTTGGACACATTCACAGAAGTGGTTTGTGATCCAGAACAAGAACGGAGAATCAGGTGAGTGGCATGAATGAGATGGGGAAACACAGGTGGGTTCAGTGGGCTGGACTGCTGGAGCAAAGTGCTGAGGAACTGGAACCAAAAGAAGAAACTGTCAGGATCCCGGGTTGTCAGGTTGTTTTGTTTGATTTAATTGCAGTTTCGTTAATATTTGATGTTAGTTTCACTTTAGTTCTTCTCAGTGTTTCAAGTTACGTTTATTTATTGGTTGTAGTTATTCTTAGTTACTCTCCCTCGCCTCCCTGTGCCTCTCTATCTATCTATCTATCTATCTATCTATCTATCTATCTATCTATCTATCTATCTATCTATCTATCTATCTATCTATCTATCTATCTATCTATCTACTCAGTCTGCTCCCTCTACTCACACCTGCAACCTGTAAGCTCATCAGCCTAGGTCTTTTGTTTCAGCAATCAGTACTTAAGCTCCTCTCTTTCAGTCACTCCTTGCTGGTTCCTCCTTCTTTCTCCCCATTTCTCCTCATGTCTCTGTGTTCCCTTGTCCTTTGTGGATTTTGTAAGTTTTTGTTCTTCAACTCTAATGATGACCTAACAACAAATCAGGACAGAAACAGCCCTGACAATAATCAATAAAAATGTACATAAGTACTCAAAGAGCGTAACACTAAGAAACGTAACACAAGGGAACATAGCAAAAGAAAGGAACAGCAAACTTGAATAGCACCAATGGAACTAATGAAAAGAAAACTAAGACATCAACACTGAATGGAGATTACTGTTGGGGGATAATTTATTTCTTTTATAGGGAGTGTATAGTTTTTCTTACTAGTGTTTCCATTAACCCAAGTCCCCTACGTCTCCTCAGGAGGTCAATATGCTCATATGAGGGCTTCCTGCATTCGTGATGCCAACCCCCCTCCCACTGCTATATACTTTGAGTTGATGGGTGGGGGTTTATACCTTTTTGCATGAGGCCCATGAAGATTATTGGGGCTAAATCACATTTACTCTCCCTCCCTCCTTCACGCCCGTGC